AACATATGAAATAATTTAGAAGCAAGTTTGAAAAATATCATCTGTTATGGAATTGAGAAACATTACTNGGCTGGGCCAAGCTAGACCCGTGAATTTTTTTCAGGTCGGGTTAGATAGTATAGACCCAAACTCTTATCCAAATGAATTATTGGGTGGACCAGACCGGAATTCGAGTAAGAGTAGGCTATCCGCAGCCCAACCCATGAGCCTATTGGACGGGTTATGGGCATGCTTTTTTGTATACAACTTTATTTAAAAATAATAAATATTTTTGTAATTTAATATTTGTGTAAATTATATTTTTGAATCAAAAATAGAGTCAAAATGGATAAAAATAAAATAATTAATAATTTTATTTTTAATTAGCGGATGAACTACATCCAATAAAATGAATATATGATAACTAAGTTGACACCTACCCCCTTATCTATCATTTGCATTACTCTATCATTTAAAACTTGTATGCTTAATTTATGGAAAAAATAATAATACATTATTTATATTATCTAAATTTTTGAAATTTCAAATTTCGACATTGAGAGACTTATTTTAAAGTTTCAAATTTAATAGTCTAAAAGTATAATTGTTTTTCAAAAGAAGTGTAGGGGGGCAGGCACTTGGGCCAGGTTTGAAACGAATTTTTTTCATGTGGGCTATTAGGCCGGGCTTAATGGGTTTGGGGGCAAATCTAAGCTCTCTTTTTANACTTGGGCCAGGTTTGAAACGAATTTTTTTCATGTGGGCTATTAGGCCGGGCTTAATGGGTTTGGGGGCAAATCTAAGCTCTCTTTTTAAGGATATTGAGTTTGGGCTCGGGCTTGGATGAGCCAACTATCAAATCTATCGAGTTTCGAACTGAATAACGAAACCCATAGATAACCCAACTCGTGGACACCCCTAGGCCAGAACATCGACTCAACAAAAAAACCAAGTTAATGAATCAATAGTTTAGTCGTTGGGTTAATGGTTGGACCAGTCATATAGTGAAAAATAGTGAAAATTGAAGTTAAGTCATCTTTAGTGGATTTTTAATGAATTTAGTATATCAGTTAAACTTATTTGGGGATAAGTCTTACTTTAATCTTACTAATAGTAATTAACTCTACAATATTTTAAAAACTCAAATGCCCTTCATAGGGAAATCAACACATTTGACTTCTATTCACCTACCTATTTAATGTCTCCCATCTCTTGCAGCCCTTTTTTTTTCTCCCTCTCATATTTATCTACTAGTTAATACTTCTTCCGGAAGACATTATGTAATATAAAAAAAATCACCAAATTAAATATTTTTGAGATCAATTCTTTTAGCATCAACAAAGAACATATTTTTCAATAAACACTACCACCATGCAAAACAATCACAACAATAATCCAAAAATCAAATTTGCACATGTGCTACTTTGTACAATAAAAAGGTTTGGGATTTTATTATGCACAATCTTGGTTTGGTAATACTTTAAGTTATTTTGGTAAATAAAATCAATTTTATTCATTGGGAGAATTAGCATTATAGAAGCAGGACGAAAGAGAAAAAACACCTTAAAGAAAACAATACATACTCAGTAATACAAATCAGGAAGTTGCAATTTTAATTAACCAACTTGAATCAAACAAATTCAAATTAACACACTGCACAATTTGACATTCAAAGCCAATGAAAATTTTGAGAGTTGATATTTAGATGATGAAAATGCATGTTAAAAACAAAAAGTAACATGAATTCAAGCAATAATAAAACTATTATTACTAGGTCCAAATTTGAATTTCATCGATAGTAAAACTATTCCTAGATATTGCCCATACTAGAAGTCACTATGTAATAAATAAAAAAATCACAAAAACTTGGTCGCGACTGTAAGCATTGCATAATACAAAAAACTCAATCACGCATAAAATTCTTGTATAACATTAAAAAAGATTGACACATTTTTTAAAATTAAACCTCGGCTTAATAAGCGAAATTTTATTCAATAATTCAAAATTTAAAATCCTAACCATGAGGACTTAAAACCTTACACCCTATATATAGCCGTGCGTGAAATCCCTTCCTTATCTGCATGAACTTAAAAATATCTCCCAGTAACTTGTCCACAAAACCTTCATTAGTGAGAGCAGAAAATCTGATTTGATTTCCTCCTCCACTACCATAAAGCTCGGTTTCATACCTCCATGATGCCATAGATCCAAAAATCAAACTATGGCTAAGAAAACAAAATCAAAACCAAAGAACAAAATCAAAGAACAATAATNTTTGTCTTCTTATAGATCCTACACAAATTATGGTGATGCAACGTGGTATGAACGGAGGCATGACTTCTGCAATGAGCCAATCAACATTTGTACTCCTTTGACACACATCGACCATGTAATTATTGTGCCTAAAACCCATAATTAGCCTCCATGTGTTTGTTTTCAACAAACAACAAAGTGGAGGGAGTATAATAATTGATGTGAGCATGAAATATACTATCGTTGGCATTAATTATTGGTGCCAAAGGCACATTCAGTTGGTATATTCCATCCATGGATCTCAAGCAACTATGACGAAATCATAGCAATGCCTCAACGTGAGAATGATTAGATGCACTGATAATTAGATCATTTTCTGGCAATCAAATATACAAAAATAGAGCATTGACCTTAGTAGTGCTATTATTGAAATTATAGGGGATTCGTTCATGGCTTCTGATCTCAAACCTTTGAACTTTACTAATTGAAGTGATGATGATTTTCAAAAATTTCTCCCCCAAGTTTGTGCTTACATGACAAACTACTTTGTTGTTATGAACATGATCCTTGTTAAAAAAGTCGAACTTAATGTATTGTCATTTAATGTTGTGGATTTAATGCAATGAACCATTATTTTGTATTTGTATGTTAAATAATAATATGCCTATTAGATTACTATAAATCACGTTAACGAAATATCAACAAAGTTGATAGAGACCTAACACAGTATATTTTTAAAATTTAAGGTCACAATTATTTATATGTGCACAAGCACACCTACACCATTTTAAAACTAAAATTAACTTTTCAAAACAAAAGTAGTGGTACTGTCCAGGTAAAATTTTAGACTAAAATTTAGAATGCCAAAAATCAAAATTCAAAACGAGCCTCAAAATTTCATTTCATCAAATTTTGAAAAAAACTTCAAAGTTTTAATATTTCATTTCAAAATTTTAAAACGACTTTCAATTTCTTTGACCACAATTGTATAAAATGCCACCTTCTGGAAAATTGGTGGTTAGATGNAAATTTTAAAACGACTTTCAATTTCTTTGACCACAATTGTATAAAATGCCACCTTCTGGAAAATTGGTGGTTAGATGCTAAAACACGCGTCATACACCTTTATTATAAAGATGTCAATTGAACTCACATTTTAAAAAAAAATTATTGTGAGTTAAAAAATNCCTTTATTATAAAGATGTCAATTGAACTCACATTTTAAAAAAAAATTATTGTGAGTTAAAAAATTGTCAATTAGCCTAAAGTAGTTTTACAAAATACTTGTATTTGAGAAATAAATTTCAAAGCACATTTTTTTGATAATAAAGTTTCCAAAGTTCGCGCAAAGGCTAAGGGTAAAAACTTTAATGTTAGAATATCTCTGGCTCTTACTTTTTATTAAATTTAAATTTAAATTTTAAGTAAAAAATTTCTCCAATGATAAACCCAAGCTCTTACCAAGTCAAAACAATGAATACTCAAACCCTATTTTTTTAAAACTTGGGTTTGTATTCTTTTAACGTTAAGTTTAATTTTTTTTTTTTTGAATTAAAACTTTGCGTTTATCTATTAAAGTATTGAGAAAATTTCAGTGATATCTCCTCTAGTTTATTATATCTATAAAGATACTCTCTCTAGTTTTTCGGTCTTCACCGTCACTTCTTGTCAGATTAAAGATCTTAATTAGAATATAATTTTATTAAATTATCTATGATATATTTTAGGAACAACTTTATATATACCCCTTCTAAATAATTATATCTTCAATGAGACCTCTTTTATTTTATAATTTTTTTTACGTATTAAAATTCAGGTTGACTAAATTCGATTCGAACAGAATAAAATTCATTTTTAATTAGTTTGAATTGAATCAACTCATATTGAATTTTAATCGATCCAAATTTTGATACGTAAAAACAATAAAAATTTTAATCGATTTAAAATAAATTTTAATCAACTTGAATCAAATTTTAATTGACACAGATTTTAATAAATAAAAAAATATAAATTTTAATCAACTGGAATCAAATTTTAATCGATACTAACAATTCAGGTTGAACTCAAATCTTCTCAAATTTTAATAAGCAAAAAAAAGAATTTTAATAGCTTCTAATTTTAATAGTTAAAAAAAATAAAATTTAATTAGCTCGAATTGAATTTTAATCGGGTCAAATTTTAATGTAAAAAATATTAATCTGCTACAATTTTAATTGACTCGAATTTTATGTAAAAAAATTATTTGGGGTCTAAGTAGGGACAATTTTGATATTTTAGATAATTTTTTTTATTAGAAATGATGGTTTAATATCAAGAATTTTAGCGATGTTTAAATATAAATTAAAAAAGGTATTAGTGATGTTTTGAATAATAGAAGATATAATAAATTAGAGGGGTATGACTAAAATTTTTCCTAAATTTTATAACAAATTAAACATGTTACTTGACTCAAAGGTAAGAGATGGAACAATGACATATAAACTTAATTAAAAATTAGACTTAGCTAGATAATCGCANTTACTTGACTCAAAGGTAAGAGATGGAACAATGACATATAAACTTAATTAAAAATTAGACTTAGCTAGATAATCGCACGTCAAGGCTACTTTTCACGTAGCTTTAAAAAATCTGGAAGATGTTTTGGAACAAAGCATCACCATAACCGAATTTTAATTTGGGAGTTCTCTTTGCTGATTGTTTCATTTGATTGTGGTTGAGTTCTGATTAGGTTGGATTCACACGACGAAGCAAAATCAAAGGCAAAACCAATGGCAAAGCGAGTGGGCGCCAAAATGAATCGAAGAAGGGAAGACGAGCGACAGTCGCTTTTGACCCGGGCGGTGAACTCAGTTTTTGCATTCTTCCGGTTCGCCGAGTTCGAGATCCTCTTCGTCCTCTTCTTCCTCGTTGCTTTTCTTATCTTCAAAGATCTGGTTAGTCATTTTTTTTCATTTCTTTTCTTCGATTCTCAAGAATTTTTTGTTAGAGTTCTTCTTGCAGAAAGTGTTTTTCTCTATATTGACTTTATTTGTGGGTTTTTCTTTCTTTCTTTTGTTTTCTTGAGTTGGTTTGAGGTTGTATTTATTGGGAAAAGGAGGATATTTACATCTAAATGACGTTTTGAAGGGGAAATTGAATATGCCCGCAAGATTGCTGAATCTATTGCGGTTAAGGGTAAAATCATTGTCTGGGAAGAACGGGAGGATTCTATTTATTGAATTGTTGCAATGTAGCATTGTTTATGTTTTAAGACCTAGATCATTCCGAATCTTAATGGATTTATCATTTATGCACTGACAGGGTGGATTAAGTACAAACCTTTAGCCTTATCTGTACAATATAGTAACTGTAAGTGGAAAAAACTTACACCACTTAATCGAAGATGATGTAGAGCTCAATGATCAACTCGTGGAAGACGAACAGAAGCTACCCCCACCTGCAAAATGAACAAACTACCAGAGATCAGGTTTAACTGGCCAAAGGTACTCCAATGCTAAAGTCAGTGCAGGATCTGATAACTGAATTAATGAATTTCTAGAGTCAGGATTGCATTACTTAGACTTATGCTTTGCCTGCTATATATAACGTCTCATGATGCCCCTTCTGCCAGGGTTTTCGCCGCTGGCTACACTAGGTGGCACGCTTATCTTTTAGCCGTTTTCCTCTTGATTGATACAGGGATCCCATCCAGCTTCCCTCATAATTTATTTAGATCACATGTTTATCATGCAACCCATGTAATTCCAGTAGTTTCCTTTGTTGTCATCCCTAATTTGGCGAGATGAATCATTCACTCTATTCTTTTGATAAAGATCCATCCCTAGAAGATAGAGCTCTAGCTTTTCTTAAAACTTTGGATTAGAAGAGCTTTATTCTGATCATTATCCTTTGCTTGGGTTTTTTTTTTACTATGCTTAGTACCAACCAGGGCTGCCTTGGTCAGTTTCTATCTTTCTCGGTCGAAATCACTTCAGGCCTTTCTTACTAAGCATGTGCTTTTGTCATGTGCCCCCACCAGTCTGTCTTTTCTCTATTCTGATTTTGAACCCTTTCACTTGTCCCCAGAGAATGTCCCTCCACGTGATACATTGGGGGACATTCTCTACCATGCCATCATTCCCTTCATTCCCTCCACATGATACACTGGGGGACATTCTCTACGATGCCATCATTCCCTTCATTAATACCTCCCTGGAGTTAATACCTGAAAAGTGAGGGGTTTGGGTCTTTTCCCTGTCATAAATGGTCACTAGCATTAATGACACGTCTTTTGAAACTTCAGGCCCCATTCTTCTGGCGCCTTTTCGTCTACCTTTTCTGATTGACACTTTTTCCTTTTCCCTCTCCATCTTCACCATTGTTGCATCTTGAAACTCCCTCCTCTCTAGATACCTCTGTAAGTCATTCATTCCTTCTTCATTTTCTTCATATGGATAGGTTTGAAGAAGGTGATATTCTTGCATTTAGGTCTAAATATGCCATCCCTAATGATGTGGTTATTGAGGCTGCAAAGGACAAACCTCTTATAGGGTCTAAGGAATGAATCCTCTTCCCCACTAGAGTTGTTTCTGAGGGTGGAGTCAGCTTCTTCCTCTACCCTTTGCTTTTATGGGTACTCCACGCGTTGAACCTATATCCCCTCCAATACTGTCCCAATTTCTTTAGGATAGTTATGGGGGTAGTAGCCTTGACAACCCCTTAGAGGTTAGCCTGGGGCTCAGGGAGCTACGGATCATAACTACTCATGTCTTGCTTGGTTACGAGCCCATGTACAACTTTTTCATTTCTGTGTCATCCACAACGTCTCTTCAACTTGCCAAGTGAAGAGCTACTCAAGCTATGCTAGCATCTCCCTCTACCACACCAAGAAGCCCTCGTAAGGGAGGAATGAGAAGAGGTTGGGTTCCCACCAATTTCATCAACCTGGTTCTGGGACCCACCTTCAAAAGAGCCTTTGATTCTGGGACTCCTGTTAAGGTTACCCGGTCCCCACTGCATACTGTCGAAGCTTGAGATTCGAGCCCTTCTTTGGTCCCACTAAATCAGTCGGATGATCTCTCAAGAACCACGACTAAGCCTCCTTCCATGCTAATAAGTTTAGAAGTAGAGACAGATCCAAATGAAGACTCCACATCCATCACTGAGCTGGTAAGGATGCAACAATCAAAGAAGAGGAAAGCCACAATTGATCGGTCAACTGAAGGACGGGAAGGGATCGAGAGGGGCCCTTGTTGGAGACCTTGTCTTATGGCTCATGGGCGAGATATTCTCTCTTAGGATTAGGTTGTTAACGATATTGACGTCGCAGTTGGTCTTGCAAGGGTAGTGAATCTTTCGCTTGACCTCCGTATTTCCAAAGGTCTAGGTGATGACTCACTGGCTCGTAGTGCTAGTCAATTGTTGGTTATGGTAAACCCTTTGTTGAACCTTTTGACTTTTTTTTCTTTCCTTTTTCTTTCAAATAATTCTGTTTCTTCTATTAATCTAGTCTTCGGTGAGTGTTTGACCTAAGTGTCCGAACTGTGAAGAATGACAAGGAAGTGAAGAAAGCGTTGGCTTCAAGCTCTCAAGCCTTGGAGAAGTGCAAGGGTCTGAAAATTGAGTCTGTGAAGGTTGTAGATGAAATGGCTCGGTTTTAGGCTGTGGTTACCAAACTCAGCAGAGAAAACGAGGAGTTAGGAAAAAACTTGGAGGGAGTTGAAGGGTTTGAAAGGGTAGCCAGAAATATGGAGCAGGGTCTGAAAGGTAGCCAAATATATGGCTGCTTGGATGAAAGTTCTCTATGCTTCCCTTCAATCCGAGTTCAAAGTCCTCCAAGCGTCAATTAGGGAGGCCGAAGACAAAGCTTATGATGAAAGATTTGAAAAGCCCGTAAGGTTATAGTAAAGTCAATTCTTGTAGTTGAGAGAATCTTTTTCAAAAAAAGATGGGATTTTCCTCTAGAAAAAGCTAACATCCGTCTTGAATTCGAGCTCTACGCCCAACATTCTATGACTCTTCAGGCTCTCATTGGTGCGCCNCAAAGTCAATTCTTGTAGTTGAGAGAATCTTTTTCAAAAAAAGATGGGATTTTCCTCTAGAAAAAGCTAACATCCCTCCTGAATTCGAGCTCTACGCCCAACATTCTATGACTCTTCAGGCTCTCATTGGTGCGCCTCTTGAGCTTGCTATTGATCTTCAGCCAGTTGGTTCTGTCAACCCTTCAGTTGATCCTTTGGTTCCTACTGTTGAGCAAACTACTACTTTTGTCCAACCAACCATTTCTTCTACTAACCCTCCTAATTCCCCGGTTGTTCCTTAATTTTAATTTAAAACTTTTGTATTGGGTCTCCTTAAAAGGAATATTATCTCATTTTTTTGTTTTTTTTTTGTTTTTGTATTGTTAACTATGCTCGTTTGGGTTTCTCCCCTATTTCCTCTGGCAAAGCGGTTTGGCTTACCAAGGGGTTAGGGCCTCTTTGATATAAAAACTTTTTAGAGAATATTGTTGTCCTTTTATTAGAACAATGGCTCGACCTTGATGAGGGGCTAGGGCTGCATAACACTTGAAAAATTCCACGCCCCTTTCCTAGCAAAAAGGCTCGGCTTCGACGATGGGCTAGGGCCTCATAACATTTGGAAAATTCTTGGCCCCTTTTCCCCCAACGAAGAGGCTTGGCCTTGATAAGGGGCTAGAGTCTCAAATACGTGGAAAAATTCAGCCCATTTCCACCCAAGAAAGAGGCTCGGCCTCGATGAGGGACTAGGGTTTGAAAATACTTAGAAAATTTAATGCCCCTTTCCCCAGCAAAGAGGCTTGGCCTTGATGAGGGGTTAGGGCTTCAAAATATCATGCCCCTTTTCCCAGCAAAGAGGCTTGACCTCAATAAGGTTCTAGAAAAGTAGAAAATTTCATACCCCCTTCCTATTTCAAAGAGGCTCAGCCTCGATGGGGGGCTAGGGCCTCAATGAAAGTTTCATACCCTTTTTTCCCAACAAAGAGGCTTGGCCTCGATGAGGGGCTAGGGTCTCAAAATATTTTGAAAATTTCATGTCCCTTTCCCCCCTCCTCCATCAAAGAGACTTGGCCTTGACGAGGGGCTAAGGCCTTTTGCAAGGGCTTAACGTGCCCGTCGTACCGACCTGCTAATCNCTTTGAAAATTTCATGTCCCTTTCCCCCCTCCTCCATCAAAGAGACTCGGCCTTGATGAGGGGCTAAGGCCTTTTGCAAGGGCTTAACGTGCCCGTCGTACCGACCTGCTAATCTGATCGATTTTAAATCTTTACTTGAATTGGCTTACATCGTCGTGCTTAGCCTTAGGTATAAGTTTGATCGGGTGGCTACACTTGATCTAGGCCCATGGCTCTGTTAGNTCTGATCGATTTTAAATCTTTACTTGAATTGGCTTACATCGTCGTGCTTAGCCTTAGGTATAAGTTTGATCGGGTGGCTACACTTGATCTAGGCCCATGGCTCTGTTAGAATTTTTGCCCTCCTTGCCTTGGCAGTAGGTTGTATTGCACTGAAGAGATCTCAGGTCTTTCGCCCAGAATATTATTCTTAGGTATTTTTCCTTTGTCTTGGCTAAGTTTCATTGTGCTATGAAATCGCTCGTTCACACTTTGAATCATCACCCAAAAAGATGTGAATAAAGGCATTTTCTGTGAAAAAGACTGCGTTTATCAAAACCATAACTAGTTCGAAACAAAGTAAAAACTAACTAAAATATGCTAGTAGTTCACGTTTAGCCTTTTGTCTTTCAAGGCATTTCTTCTCCCAGGTCGAAGGCACTTTTATTGGTCTTGTATGTATTTCTGAAGGCACTTTAGAAGTAGTATCGTCGGAGATTTTTTGCATTCCATGGCCGTAGTACTGGATTTCCTTTCATTGTTTCAAGCTTATGTTTTACATTTCTGTTTATAAGCATAAGCTAGAGAAGGATAATATTGTAATTACTCTAGATATTTATTCAATATAAATAAATAGTGTAGAGCAACACTGCCAAATACATTGATTATTCTCTCTTTCTTCCTCCTCCTTTCTAAGCTATTTATTACTTTTCACTACTTCAACTTAGTATCAGAGCATCGATTCAAGCTATATAACGTTGGGAAAACGTTGCAGTAGAGCCTTGGGATTTTTCCACTTTCTGACGCCACTTGTCAGTGGTTGACGACATGTTGACATCAGCATGGCGTCAACAACTTCTATGGTCAGCACCTACCTCTTGCATCGGTTCTTTATGAGGAGTATTATTAGTATTTTGTGTATTTTTTTATAAAGCCATTTGAGTAGGTTTTTCTATTTTTGAATATTTTTCGAGAAAATCTGTCCTATTTTTTAGATCTGATGTTTTTGGCACTTTTTGGAGGATTTGTTGCTTAGATCCAAACTTGGGGGTGCCGATTAGGCCTAAGAAGGAGTATCCCAAATTGCCCAGCCCTATTTGGCTGTTTTCTACATGTTTTTGTGACCAGAAGTGCCGACTGATCTATTTTTTTGACTGAACCGTGTGCTGAAAACACTGTTCACTTGGATCTGCACGTGTTTTGGTTGTGGTTTGACCTAGTGTTGGGTGTTGAGGCCTTCTTGTCTGCGATTTTTTGTTGGGTGTTTTGCGGCTTCAATACGACAGCAGATTGATAGCAGATTTTTTTGCTCTAGCTAGCGTCTTCTTTCCTTTTGGTTGTGGGCTTTGGCTGCACTTGTTGGGCTTTTTGCTGGGCCATTTGTTATGTTGCGTCTTTGGACACTGTGCACTGTTCATAAACAGTGACATTGTCACTGTTCACGGCTGTTCTTGCTAGTTGTGTTGTGTTGGGTTATAAATAATTTGTTGATTTTTCAATGGTGCCTTTGAATAGTGGTTGTGATTTGTCCCATAATGTTAGTCGTGGAGGTCCATACGCAGGACATAGTGTATGTAGTGATTGTTTTGGTTGCAGTTACCATTATGTATGGAAGTGTACTTATTGTAGTGGTACAAGAAGAGACCAACATGTGCATCTACTAATGGCTCTCATGATGACCAATATATGCTGATTAGGCTTCTAATGATACTTCAGGTTCTCTAGTACATCAGACTTCTACTAATGGAATCAGCTTATAACGCTACCATGGGGTGCATGTGATTGCATGAAATAAAGGTGGCTCCGTTGACCTACCATCAAATTTTGAGGTTCCCCGTGGATGCAGGGATAGTTGACATTCGAGGAGATCAAGTGAGTTCTCAGAGTTGTCTGTTGGCAACTTTAAAAGGGAAGGTTATAAGGGAAACGAAACAGGAAGCCAAGGAGGCGTCAAATAAACCTACAAAATAGCAATTAAAGTTAGAACTACCAAACATGAAAGAGCCTATAGCAAGGTTGACTGAACATACAGCGGAGGATCTGAAAATCATCTGTACAGACGAGCATCACACTGACAAACATTTTCTAATAGGCTCATCATTGACATTGCAGGAGGGGAAAGCCATGGAAAAACTCTTGACTGAAAATATTGATGTGTTTGCATGGACACCCTACAAAATGTCTGGAATCAATCCAAAAGTCATTTCACATCAATTGAACGTTGACCTAAGCTTCAAGCCGATAAAACCGAAGCAATGAAGGTCTTCACTTTAGCGCACCGAATCTGTGATTGAGGAAGTAGGAAAATTGTTGGAGGCACAGTCAATCAAGTTAGTGCAGTATCCAACTTGGCTCTCTAATGTAGTCATAGTGAAGAAGAAAAACTGAAAATAGAGAGTTTGCATGGATTTCATGGCCCTTCCAAAAAATGCCACCTCTAGGCACGAGCGAATGAGCTTTTTAGATGCATACAGCAGATACCACTAGATCCCCCTTTTAGAACACGATCAAGATAAACCATCCTTCATTATGCCAAGGGGTCTTCTGCTACAAGTATCATTTCACATCAATTGAATGTTGACCAGAGCTTTAAGCCGATAAAACAAAATCAATGAAGGTCTTCAATTCAGCACACTGAAGCTGTAATCGAGAAAATAGGAAAATTATTGGAGGCACGATCAATCAAGGAAGTGTAGCATCCAACTTGGCTTTCCAATAAAGTCATAGTGAAGAAGAAAAAAGAAAAATGGAGTGTTTGTGTGGATTTTATGGTTTTGAACTGAGCTTACCCCAATGATATTTTTCTCCTTCTGAAAAACACCACCTCTAGGCATGAGCAAATAAGGTTATTAGATGCATACTGGGGATACCACTAGATCCCCTTTTTCGAACACAATCAAGAGAAATTATCCTTCATTACGCCAAGGGGATCTTCTATTACAAAGTGATGCCCTTTGGTATTGTTGGAAATATAGCAATCTAATTTATTAGGGTTTATTAAATTTTTCCATTTTTACCTTTTTATCCTTATTGTAACTTTCATTGGCTATATATACGGGGACTCTATACTCAGTTTGTATCCCTTTTAACTCACACATATTTCTCTAGTTGGTATCAGAGCCAAAATCATTACCCTATCCTTCTATACCCCGTCGCAGCCTACTGCCACCACAAACCAGCCACACCACGACCACTGCGCAACCGCAGCAACCACAGCCCAGTCGCCATCACAGCATCCCACCGACTGCCCAGCAGACCACCCCAACTCAACAAACCAAAACCCAGTCCACTACCTACCAAGTTCATCGACAGCCATAAAGCACTGACCGACCAGTCTACCAAACCAGTCCAGCAAGCACCGACTGCCTACCAAAATCAATAGATTCCAACCAATATACATAAAGCACCGATTGCCCACCAAACTTAAAATCCCAAAATCCCAAACCAATAAATTAAACCAATATATCAGCCCACCATGCCTAGCCGACTGACCTAATATCTCTTAAACCCAACATATCAATCCAACTGACTGCCCACACCAAACCGACTGCCCAGAAAAAACCACAAACCAATAACCCAAACCTAGACCAACCATATTAAATCAATAACCCAAACCCAAACCCAGACCAGCCAAGACCACCAAAACAACAGCCTGCTATAAACAACAGCAAAAAAGAAACAATAAAGCAGCCAAACGACTTATATCCTTGGCCCAAAAAACTGACAGCGACCCAACAACCATATCAGCCAACCCAGCGACCTACACATTATCCCAGTCCAGGCCCAAACCCAACACAGTATCCACTCCAGTGAACAAGCCCACTGTTGGGTCGCACTCTTCCTCATAACATCGTGTTTTGCTTTCGTGCGTCTGATTATTTGGGACCGTAGGACCTTTTAAGAGGAGTTAAATCATCTTCTCCGTTGATATGCTCTTGATGCAATAGATCATTTATTTATATTTATTGGAT